TATATAGATTTACGTTGAGCGAATTTATTGAAGATCTTGTCAACCTGTATCGGGGAGGCCTAACTTGGCCTGAACCTCGAGTATTATAGTCATGAAAATGGGAGTTAAGTTGTAGTTTATTCTTATTGTCATGAATTTCCAGCACTTGATGATATATGTAAAGCGATGGTATATAATGACATATTGCTGGTAAAGAGGCCGACAGTGGTCTCTATATTCAGCATTTGCGATAACTCTTACTATTCTCTTTTGTAGTTTGAAGACTTTGAATGAATCCATAGAATTTCCCCTCGAAATAATGAATAATACATAGTTAGAAGAACTTCTATATCATCCACTCCTCTAAGTTGTCTCATGATGAAAATCGAACTGGAAAGTTTAGAACAAAGTATTCGAATGTGTTTTGACCAGTTTAGTGAATCGTCAAGAGTATGTCTCCTAGAAATTTGACAGTTTCTCCATGATGGGCTTCCGATGAAAAAGTAATGCGATTTGTTTTGCTTCCATTGTTTGCAGAAAACCAGTATTCGGCCTTCTTTTCTAAAGCTAGAATAGAATTTATGGGGCAAGTATTGGTGGGATTGGAGTTTATTAGCGTTGCATCGTCTGCGAATAGAATACATGTTTTGGGTTCCATGTGATAGAGAAAATCGTTGATATAGATGATAAATAAAAGTGGCCCCAAGACAGAGCCTTGGGGTACACCATGATTTATATCTTCGAGATCAGAGGTTTTCCCATTTAGGCTGACACATTGTTTCCGATTTGTCAAATACGTGAACAACAAATCCAATGGTTTTCCCCTAATGTCATAGCGTCGTAATTTCTCTATCAATAATTCGTGGTCTACACAGTCAAAGGGTTTGCTGAGATCGCACAAGCTTATAGAAGTTCGGCGACCGTCTTCAAAGTCTTCAACAATGTTGTTTATCACCCTAGAAATTGCCTGAATAGTGGATCGGTTTTTACGAAATCCATACTGGTTCTTATGTAAAATTTCGAATTTATCAAAGTAGACTGATAATCGATTTTTCAAGATAATTTCAAAAATTTTTCCGAGGAACGGAATCACAGAGATGAGGCGAACATTTTCAGGAACGTTCAAATCGCCAAATTTATGTATTAGAACAACTTTACTATATTTGAAGATATCAGGGAATACTCCTCCAACTATGCACATATTATAAAGATCAGTTAGAGACGTTACCAGTAGATCAATTGAGTGTTTTAATAGTTTAGTGTTGATCTGAATCATGTCAATGGAAAGTGAGTTCTTTAGGGATAAAGATGCAGCAATTACATCATGACTCAATATAAGCTCAAGAAAGAAGGAATAAAGTGTCGTTGGAATTTTTCGAAATAATTTGTCGAGATCAAGGTCATAGTCTGGTAAAGTTTTGATTATTGCTTCGGCTACATTTGAGGAGCAACTATTGAATGCATCTACTTCGATAGAACTCCGAACGTTTTCTTTACGTGAAAGATTCCTTCTATAGTTTATAAGTTTCCAAGAATTCCTCATTTTTTTATTCGAATTTAATAAATAATATCATGAGCATATTTTTTTGTCTTTGTTATTTTTTCTCTGTATTGGGTTCTCAATATTTTATATACATCGTTATCTCTCTCGAGCGATTTTAACGACGGATTCTAGGAACAAAAATAGTAAAGAAACTTCATGAGTACCTCAAGGATCGAATCTGGGGCCTCTTCTATTCCTCTTTTTCATAAATGATATATGCATTTCAATTAAATCAAGCAAACTCCTTTTTGCAGATGACATGAAAATTTTCACAGAAATTTCAGATATTGCAGATTGTTTGCGTCTGCAAAACGATCTGAATCTTGTTTTCAAATGGTGTTCTGAAAATAATTCACCCCTGAATATACAGAAATGCAAAATTATGAGCAGTTCTAGAAAAGTTTCTACATTTTCAATTGATTATTTCATCGAAGATGGTAAACGAATGTGCAGATCTGGGAGATATATTTGACAGCAAATTAATATTCAATTCACATATTGAAAAAATCAAATCCAATGCAAAAAGGGCTCTAGGTTTACTCATACGTAATTGTAAAGAATTTACGAATCCTAAAGCTCTTTGTTCTATTTACTACTGCATTGTACGTAGCAAGCTTGAATACTGCAGTGTGGTGTGGAACCCAAGCCAAGTTAAACACATACAAGCATTGGAAACAGTACAAAAAAATTTCTCAAATTATATTTATCCTGAACGTCACTGCAATTACGATTTGCTACTAGAAGAATTTGCATTCGTTAGCTTGAAAAAACGACGTGCATATAAATTAATAATTAATCAAATAGATTCGGCGTCCCTTTTATCCACACTGAGTTTCAACATACCCCTTAACTCTTCAAGATCAAACCTGACTTTCCGAATCGATGTTCCAAATTCACATCACCTCAATAGTCCTATCACATCTATGTGTAGAAGCCTAAATAATGTGCCGTCTGTAGATATATTTAATAAATAAATTTAACCCAGTTCAGAAAGCAATTATTGTACACTCTTATTCCGAACTATATACCTTTTCAACTTCATTTCGGAATCGGTAAGTTATATTTCGGAAAAAGTAATCTCGATTCAGAATTGGTTAGTTAGATTTCAGAAATGGTAAACTCAATTTCAGAATCGGAGATGAATTTCAGAAAAATTCCATTTGATTTCAGAAATGGTAAGTTGTATTTCAGAACTGGTAGGTACAATTTCAGAAAATAAATCCTTATATTTGTTTGAAATGTTTTTAATTGCATGTGAAATCAACAAACTATATTTACAATATTGAACTTCTCGAAAACAATTCCATAACATAATTATAATCTCAATTCAATCCACGGATATGTCTTCCATCCTAATCGCAGAAGGATAGTTGCGTTGCACATGATTATAAGTATGCAAACACATTTGAGGTGTTATCATTCTCATTGAATGATCTGCACATTCTCCAAGACATCGCAGTCTGAATTCTATCTGGCTGAGCAATCTGTTTGTATCCCCAGCTATGACCCTTTGGCGACGCTCTTGCAAAAAGCTCTTCATTTCTGAGTTGAAGGCACTCTATATATGTTCAATCTGGTTCAACATAGGTGCCAATCTGCGAAATATAACATTTTGAAATTCTTCCTCCATGCATATCTCTTCTATTCTTGAATGTGCAGGTGCATTAACCAGAACTACCACTATGGTATCTGCAGGATGCTCATTTCGAACGCACGCTCTTAAACACCTTTTGCAATTAAAAACATTTCAAACAAATATAAGGATTTTTCTTCTGAAATTGAACCTACCAATTCTGGAATCAAACTTACCATTTCTGAAATTGAATGTACTTTTTCTGAAAATCATCTCACCGATTCTGAAATTGAGTTCACCATTTCTGAAATCGAACTAACCAATTCTGAAATCGAGATTACTTTTTCCGGAATATAACTTACCGAATGAGTCGAAAAATATACATGATGCAAGAAGGTTTAAAATCAATCTTAAAAAATACTTGCTCAGGACAATTTGACTGAAAAATATGTGGCATGATTTGATTACTTAGCAATGAAATATAACTTTAATCTTTAATCTTATAAGACACAATATTAATTCGTTTCCACTGAGTGGAATTCATTAGTTAACCCTTTATTATTATTTTTTTATACAGAGTGTCCGCTAAAAGGAGGTCAATCCATTATCCACATATTCCTTGAACAAAAACAATATGAGTTTCTAAATACCATTTTTCATTTTAGCCCTTCATATTCGATATACAGGGTGTCAAAGTTGGAAATTAAAAACTGTTTTTTTCTAATTACTCGCGTATTTGATAAGATATCAATCTCAAAATGTGTACATTACTTCAGCACAAAGAGTTACATCGTGTGAGGAAAACATAACAGAAAATAACTGTCAAATATTCAAAATACTGGGGGTCAAGTACACACTTACTCCCATATTTTTTTGTACGTGCGCTAATGACTTCCTATCTATTTTCCTTCAAGTGTTCAATCATTTTTGAGTAATTTGTGTTTCTTGTAAAATTTCGATTAAATCATTTGTTTTTAAGATAATTCGAAAAGTACTGGTTATTGTTTGATGCCTATGCAGCTTACGGTAATCTCATAATGTTCACATACTCCTATTTATTTCGTCGAAATTGGAAGAGAGCTTATCTTTTTACGGTCGAAAAGGTAAATATGGAAATACCGGGTGCTCAGAGCGAATGTATTAAAATAATTTTTACAATTTTTCAATTTTTTTTTCTGTAAAAATTATTTTAGTACATTTGCTCTGAGCACCCGGTATTTCCATATTTACCTTTTCGTACGTAAAAAGATACGCCCTCTTCCAATTTCGACGAAATAAATAGGAGTATGTGAACATTATGAGATTACCGTAAGCCGCGAGGCATGAAACAATAACCAGTACTTTTCGAATTATCTTAAAAACAAATAATTTTATCGAAATTTTACAAAAATCTAAAAATACTCAAAAATGATTGAACACTTGAAGAAAAATAGATAAGAAGTCATTAGCGCACGAACAAGAAAAATATGGGGGTAAGTGTGTACTTGACCCCCAGTATTTTGAATATTTGACAGTTATTTTCTGTTTTGTCTTCCTCACACGATGTAACTCTTTGTGCTGAAGTAATGTACCAATTTTGAGATTAATATCTCATTAATTACGCGAGTAATTAGAAAAAAAACAGTTTTCAATTTCCAACTTTGACACCCTGTATATCGAATATGAAGGGCTAAAATGAAAAATGGTATTTAGAAACTCATATTATTTTTGTTCAAGGAATATATGGTTAATGGATTGACCTCCTTTTAGCGGACACCCTGTATGTATTTATGTATCCCTATCATAAACAGAAATGTTTCTTGGGGTAATAAAGACAATCAATCAATCAAATTGAAGTTAAAAAGGTATAGATTGTACTAATCTTGGTAGTAATGACACTGGTTACAATTCGCATGTTTTCCACAGCCTGCTGCCGTTGAAGACCTCCGCAGGTGGACTTCCGACGAGGCTCTCGGCGACATCACGGTGACGCCGGATTGCGGGAACCGCATCACTTTCACGACCGAGGGCGACACGATAGACGGCAACACTGTCGCTTCTGATGACGAAGGCATCGACCACAAGCTGCCCTCGCCCGAAGAGCAGGTGCAGGTGGTGGCCCTCAAGTGAGTACCAGGCCGGAATGGGCTAAAGTAGAGTCCCTGTATATACCTTAGACAAGAGTCCGGACACAAAACTGACAGCCGTTGGGGTTTTTAACATTTTGTTTCATTTGGTTTGCCCACCTGACAATGTGACGAAACACCATAGTCGCCCACCCGCTTTTTTCAATTATTTCGAATATGTGTCACTGTCACTGAAATTTTATGACAGCCAAAATTTAGCATTTTAAATTATTTCAATGTCCTGCTGCGTACATTATTGCGATAATTCATTAGAAAAGGGATTCAAGTTATTCAATTTTCCGAATGATCCTTTAAAGATAGTGTCATGGAAGAATGCTATGAAACGTCCAGAATGGAAAATTAATTTCAAGAAATCCGCAATATGTGAGGTAAATATTCAAATTTACTCGAAAGAACAGTACAAGAAAGATGAATTTTAGGCCCATTTTGATAGAGATTCTTTCAAGCTGATGGATTTCAAATTGAGAGAGTCTGCTGTGCCGTCAATTTATAAAATAGAGACGTTCAAATTGGGAATTACTGAATGATACGATCGCAGAGAAAGAAAATGAGAATGAGATGATGCGGAAAGAAATTGAAAGTTTGAAATCAAAACTAGAAGATTTAGAGAAATTGCAATGTGCTGTCATCAGTCCACGGTGTTTTTAATTTAGATCAAATTCAAAATTTACAAGTGAATGTAGATTTGCAGGAAGAGGTGGGAAACTGACACAATTGAAATTATACTGAAACAATTATATATCTTCTATTTTTTTATATCCCAACAGAAAACAACTATATTTTCTTGGCTATATGTGATACCACATAGAACACTCAAATTATCTTTCTTATATCTAATGAAGTGAAGAAATACCTGATGACGAAAATTTGCAATAGCCATCTCAGGAATTGATTATGAAAATTATCAATTCGAAATTTGAACACCCTGTTGTTCATTATTTGAAAATCTAATAGTAATTCTAGTTAAAATAGCCCTATTTCTCACTTCTACCTACGGCTATGAACGGTTTGACAAATAATCTAACCCTCAAAATTTTTTCTGACAATCATTGATCCTAGGGGAATTGAAAAGACAGAGCTCGATATATATATATATGTCTTATTCCTTTATTCAATCATCAATGCATTTTTTGAAAACAGAAAAGGACAGAAGTATAGCTGTGTCCGGACTCTTGTCTAAGGTATATACAGGGACTCTAAGCTAAAGAACCGTTTTTTCTTCATTATTTAAAGAAGAAGTTATGAATGGTTGTTGAAAGTATTGTTGGTATTTATACCGACAACTTAGGCCGGTCCTGTACTATATATTTCGATCTAAAAACAAGGAAGAAGAAGACGAGGACAAGTGAATTTTGATTTTTGACACTTGACGCAAGATAAGTGTCAATAATAAGTCATAGTTGTTAGTTATGTTTTAGCACAACTATTTCCAATGAAACCAATGTTTAAACTGCTTTAGTTTGAATAACCAACAATGGTTTTGAGATCTTGAATGCACAAATGGAGTAACAGTCTCAGTCAAACGGTCGAAATTCGCCGCTCATTACTACTGACGTCATCACTCCGTTGAAGTGAAACACATAGTTGCCAGATGTCAAAGTACATCTGGAAATATCAGGAGTTGTCTGGTTATGGAGTATTTTCCATCTTTATTTGCTTCATCATGCACATATCTTTCTTATTCATGATTAACATGTAGATTCGTTAATTATCATATTATTATACAGGGTGATTCAAAAGTAAGCGGCATCCTTTCAGAGGCGTATTCCTTGCATGAAAATAAGGCAAAAAGTTCCTATTGATAAGGATCCGAAAATGCTTCCTAAGGGAGCTACGGCCCTTTGAATAGGACACCTCAAAGACGGTTTTTTCTCTATAACTTTAAAATCCTTCACAACAAATTTTTAAAAATTGGTGTACGGCATAAACATTCGATGGTAAATAGGACTCCGTATTCGAAATAATTTCCAAACGAAATCACAGTAACCTGAATATCCGGAGAAGAAGGGATATTTTTACACTTACCCTCTCCCGCATGTGACGCCCCTGAATGAAATTCTGAAATTTCGAATACGGAGTCCTATTTACCATCGAATGTTTATGCCGTACACCAATTTTTAAAAATTTGTTGTGAAGGATTTTAAAGTTATAGAGAAAAAACCGTCTTTGAGGTGTCCTATTCAAAGGGCCGTAGCTCCCTTAGGAAGCATTTTCGGATCCTTATCAATAGGAACTTTTTGCCTTATTTTCAAGCAAGGAATACGCCTCTGAAAGGATGCCGCTTACTTTTGAATCACCCTGTATATGATTATGTCTTAGCAGAAATTTTCTGGCATATACCTTTTGTACCTGACTTGAAGCACCGAAGGTTAGTCGAAAGTGCTTTTCAAAAATGAATATCGAAACACAAAAATGCACATCATAGTATATAGTCCAGGAGCCGGCTGCAATTTTCGAGCGTCATTAAATAACGAAATGACAAACATATTAGGTATACCCCAAAGGCATGTGAAAACATTGTACACGTATTTTATCGAACGGCACTTGTGCCAATCACTTTCCTGAGCAAAATCATTCGTTCTGAATCACTCGATTTGATTACGAGTTCATAATTATGACATCGAATACCTATTGGATGGTAGATCTCAAAACTTCACCTGTACCACCACTTAAGTTTGGTCAAATCTTTGGCTCAAGGATTTTTTTTGGGCTGTGTGCACGTGTATATATACCAAAGAAGGGAAGATTTGTATTTCGTGCAAGATAATTTATTCAATATTCGTAGCAGAGCGCTTTCGACACACCAATAAATTTAGCAGAACTACTTCAATATTTCGGATTTGCAATCGTACTATAATTTGTTACTAATTTAGTACTAATTTATCATCATATTCGCAAATTTATTACTCTTCATTAAACAGAAAAAACCAACGGCTCTGCTAGCTATATGTCAACCTAGCAGAACCATAGCTGAAAATTTAATATTTTGAAAATTTTAAATATACCATAATTTATAACTATTTTATTACTAACTTATAACTATAATCACGAATTTTTTACTCATCATTTCAATGAAAAAAACGACGATTTGTCTATCTCGATCTCAACCTAGCAGAACCAAAACTCAAATCACATGTTTTTTGAAATTCTGTTGTATCATCGATAAGTCACTAATTTATTACTAATTTATTACCACATTCGCAAATTTCTAACACTTCATTCGACAGGGAAAACCAACGGCTCTGCTAGCTTGCTGTCAACCTAGCAGAGCCATAGCTAAACAATTATTATTTTGAAAACTTCAAATATACCATAATTTATTACTATTCCATTACTAACTCATAACTATAATCACGAATTTTTTACTCATAATTTCAAGGAAAAAAACGACGATTTGACTATCTCGATCTCAACCTAGCAGAACCAAAACTCAAATCGCATGTTTTTTTTAATTCTATCGAATCATCAATAAGTTACTAATTTATTACTAATTCATAAAAATTTGTTCAAGTAACAAAATGTTTGCTAATACAACTGAAAATGTTGTTATAGTAACAAGATATTTTGTCGTGGATATAGGACAAAATATGTTGTTGATTCAATCAAGTTTTTTCTCCGTCAGTAATGAATTATGAACTGAATGGAATTTCCGGAAAGTTTCAAAAATATGTCATTCGAGTATTGGTTCTGCCGCGGGTGGAGATAGAAATAGACGAATCGGCGAGCAGAGCCGTTGTTTTTTTCTGTTTAATGAAGTGTTAGGAATTTGCGAATGTGGCAATAAACTAGTATTGATAATTCAATATAGTATTTCAAAAAACATGTCATTTGGTTCTGCTAGGTTGAGATCGAGATAGACAAATAGGCGTTTTTTCTCCGAAATGATGAGTAAAAAAATCGTGATTATAGTAATAAGTTGGTAACAAACTAGTAATAAACTATGGTATATTTGAAGTTTTCAAAATAATAAGTTTTTAGCTATGGTTCTGCTAGGTTGACATAAAGCTAGCAGAACCGTCGATTTTGCCTGTTGAATGAATTGTTAGAATTTTGCGAATGTCGTAATAAATTAGTAATAAATTAGTAACTTATTGATAATTCAATAGAATTTCAAAAATTACGTGATTTGAGTTTTGGTTCTGCTAGGTTGAGATCGAGGTAGACCAATAGGCGTATTTTCCTTGAAATGATGAATAAAAAATTCGTGATTATAGTCATAAATTAGTAATAAAATAGTTATAAATTATGGTGTCTTTGAAGTTTCATAAATAGTAAATTCTTAGCTATGGTTCTGGTAGGTTGACATTAAGCTAGCAGAACCGTCGATTTTTCCCGATTTTGCCTGTTGAATGAATTGTTAGAATTTTGCGAATGTGGTAATAAATTAGTAACTTATCGATGATACAACAGAATTTCAAAAAACATGTGATTTGAGTTTTGGTTCTGCTAGGTTGAGATCGAGATAGACAAATCGTCGTTTTTTTCCTTGAAATGATGAGTAAAAAATTCGTGATTATAGTTATAAGTTAGTAATAAAATAGTTATAAATTATGATATATTTAAAATTTTCAAAACATTAAATTTTCAGCTATGGTTAATTAAAATTAGTAACAAATTATAGTACTATTGCAAATCCGAAATATTGAAGTGGTTCCGCTTAGTTTATTGGGGTGCTTTCGACTGTTAAGTCATCATCAGTGCATACCTGTGAGTAAGTAATCTGCTTTTAGCTATTGGAAAGAAATTGAAATTGAAAATTCGAGAAGAGTTCAAGGATTTTTTGCCACCGTTATTCCGGACATATTTCCGTCAGTTCTGTCACGTGTTAACGAGTTGAAACAAAATGCAAATGGGCGAGTAGACTGATGATGAATTATTGGCATTCAATTACTCCACTGTGTAGTTAGGAACCTGATTTAATTTTTGTAACACTTCTCACGCTTTTTTCATGTAAATAATAAGTTTCGATTCCTCGAAATATGCGCACTCTACCGAGAAAACGCTCAAATCTAACCATGTTTCCGCAGATTCCCCGCAGAAATCGTAGCAGTGGACGTCTCTGGAAGGAGCTTCGATCGAATGTCGATACAAAGGAGGTCCCTCGTTCATGGTGACCTAGTCAACAGAACGACAGATGGCGACACTAACGCAGCGAGAAGACGAACGAGAACAAGAAAACCTCGAAACAGAAGAAGAAATACCTTAGCGGGAACGGACCAGAAAGAAATCAGAGATGCAATAACCGCCGGGTAAGTGAAGCAATATTTATAATCACACAAACTAACAACTGATTGAGTGTTGGCTATGGAAATATTTCCTTCGAACAAACAAAATTTATAAATGTGATAATAACAAAGCATGCTCGTTTGGCTTCAAGAATATCTTAAAAAATTGTAAATATTTCCGGTCATTTGGCATTTTGTACACTCACAACGAACACTTGCATCCAGCAAAACTAATAACGATTCCTTGACAGGGAGGAGCCTTCCTCATTTAACCGTGAGTCCGAATCCTCAACCAGCGGAGCGGTAAGCAGAAGCAAGAGTAGCGACCTCTTGCGATCGACCACCAAGAAAGAGTGTCCCGACAACAAGAAATCGCACTTCAACACGCTCAAACAGTGGGGCAAGAACAGGTACGACAGACTGATGAACAAGAGCTCGGAAAAGAACGAGACTAAAGCGAAGGACGACATCGATGACTTCAACGTTTACGAAACGGTCACTATGAAGAGGAAGCGGGACTTCGAGATGGAAAGGCGAACCCACGAACGCAACGCTTCGATTTCATCATCAGAAAAATCGAGTATAAACGTCCCGATAACAAACACTCTCTCATCCGTTTTGAACATAGCGGTGAGGTTGCGCGAAAGCTCTGTTCAGAGGCGACTGAGGAGAACAGGAGGTAACAAAGATGAGCCCCATTCGTCTAGTGGTAACTGGAGCGCTAGTTCTGAAAGCGGGAGAGCGTCCATAGGATCAGAAATCACCACGACCACCCAACCAAAGTCCACCACCTCAGCAGCAACATCTAACAACTCTCTTAACGTTCCCAGCTCGGTAAACAGCAGGAGACGTTTCGTCAACAACTCAGCATCTAGTAGTGTTACCAGCGAAGGAACGCTCACTCCAGATATAATCCACGATTTGCACGAGGATGGCGAAACTAGCTCGGTGTACTCGTGCGACACAGAAGGCTACTACACTTCATTCCACATGGACAGCGGTTTGAAGACTTTGAAGGAGGAAGAAACGCCTCCTACACCTTTACATTCCACGTCAGCATTTTCGAATTCCGGTTCAGTATTATCCGCCGAGAACGAGTACGAATTATTCGGCAAAGGATCGACGTCCACCACCACAAGCTCAGCTGGTACCGTTTGTACTACGCTGCGAGCCTCCGAAAGCAATAAATCTTTAGTAATAGGTCCAGCGGTTCCCGAAAGAAAGAGTTCCTTATCCAAACTATCCAACCACTCTCCAGAAAGTTCCTTAGAGAGAGACTTTGGTGATAAAACCGGTACTGTCAAGCGGAGTCCCGCTACGAAACCGGTTGTTGTCGCTTTAGTTCACAAGCAAGACGAAGGTAGCAAGCGGAATGCCGGAGATGTTTCTCCAGACAGCGGACACAACACCTCTAGCTCCCCCATAGAGTCAATGAGTAGTCCCAATGGCGTTCGAAGTGGATCCGACTTTGAATTTTCTGAATCTTCCGACATGGAAGGACCAGAAAGGATAGAGCGGATACGAGTCAAAACCACCATCAACTCTAGCAGAATACCTTCGATGTGCGTCATCACACCTTCACACAGCGACGATGAGAGTTCCAACAGCAGCAATTCCTCGCGTAAAAACTATCAGAAGCAATTGCAAGAGAAAAACGACTTCAATCAGAAAGGTGAAGGGACATCTGAGAAGGATACCGAGAAGATTCATCACATAATAAATACGATGGTGAACGGTGCGAGTAAACTTTCGTTAGTCAGCGTTAATCCCCAGTCTGGATATGCGACAGTACAAAGAATCGATCATACTGATAGCACATTGGAACAAGCAGAAAAACCGCTCAATACGAATGTGATAGCTAGCACTAATGCTATAAGAGCTCCGAGCCCTAGTGGAGGAACTGTCACGATAAAAGAAACTCTAGAAAATAAATCTCCCACTCAGCCCATCATTAAAGCTTCTCTACTACCTCTCAATAACATGTTCGGAAGACTGAAGAGTAATTTAGCCAACTTTGCTCACAAACGTGATAGAAGTAAATCCCCTAACTTCAAAAGCAACGCCACCAATTTCGATGCTGGCGAGTATGTGACTATCGCGGATATAAGAAACAATAACGAGAAAATTACTTTGCCAACAGAGGAGTCAGCTTCTGGTAATGATGTTGCTAACAGGAATCTGAACACTGTGCTCTCTGGTAAAATAAGGGACGCTGAATACGTGAGTCTCGACGAGCTGCCTTGCAATGAGAACAATAACCTAGCACACACTTACACGAATCTGGAAACTATAGAGAAAACTAAAAGGCAAGGTGCTAAAGTAACAGTAGATGATGAAGGTAAAGTCGTCTACAATTCTGATAGTTTGAAGAGGAGGAAGAATTCCCACACCACTTTTCAACCAGGGAAAAACGTGAAAACGACCGACTTCACTTGCGAAAGTCCTCAACCTATTCACAGAACACCAAAATCGGTTAAACCGGTAACCAACACTGCATCAGTCGAATCCAATACGCCTTCTTCCTATGCAAAGAGTTTCTTAAGACTGAATCCGTCCACAATTCCGCAACAAACTCCAAGAGATACTGGTCCAATCTCTCCTACTCACAAAAAAGGTAAGAACCGTAACCCAATGTCCTTGACCCCCAGACCACACAACAAAAACTCACCGCACACCAACAACAAAAACACGAACAATGACAGAAAAATAAAGCGAACCGACAGCTATCGCATAGCTAACGCTCCGGCAACTTTAGCACTTTTAAACAAAAAAATTGAGAAGCTAGATATCGAGACGATCATAGAAAAAGAGATCGCCAACGAATTATGGCGCGAAAGGATAAACTACCCTCCGACCGTTTCTCCTGTCGTGTCTCCCAAGATGTGTCCGAGGCAGTGTCACGTTTACAGTCAGGCGCATGCGCAGAAAATGCTGCTTGCTTCCCCTACTCGCGTTATTATCCCGGTAGAGGCTACGGAGAATAGGGTTAGGGTGTTATCCGCATCGGTGACGGATACGGAAATTTGGTGAATGTCGAGAGAAGTAACAGTGGCGGTGGAGTGGAGTTTCACGAAGGGATGTTCAGTGTAAGACGGAAACCTGTTGGTTCAAGAGTAACTTTTCGAAATTCCGATTTCAATTTCTTTGCCACTTTGTTAATTGGTTCTCTTTATCGGGTATGGTTCATCCAGAAACGTCTCAATAATTTTCATGTCTCATTTGGGTAGATTGGTACCCAATATCACGATGATCCTTCAATGTTACATTTCAGAGCTGTAAAAATTGTGAGGGGATTCGTGACAAATAAGGAAGAATTGCAATGTGGATAATGTCAGATAATGTCTTGACTTGCCGAGGCATAAAACATTTGACACTCGGATGCTTCTTCACTGTCAGTCTCAAATTGTCATCTTTTCCAAACTAAACATCAGTCAAATGATCGTGCTGTGAGAATGTTTCTAATTTAAAAAATACTACCTACTGCTGTTCCTATTGGAATATTCATTTGTTGGCAGAACACGGATGGCATAGTCTCATAATCTCTCACATCCAAATTCTGTCGAAATCGAATTACCTGAAACATCATAATTTCTTGAATTTCAAAATTTGGCAACCTTCGAAACAAGGATTCGTGGATATTTGTCAGCCCTCAGTATATACACGTAGTTCTGCTAGGAGATCATATTTTAGCGAATATAAAAACTGGAAAAATGAGAATAGTATACTGAGAAGCTTTGAGATAGCTTTCTAGGGAGTCAAAATATGTTGAGTAGATACTCTATTTTAATCAAGTGGACGTTTCTAGTAGATTATCTGGACACACTTGTAAGTGATATTTCTTCATTCTGAACCAACTGAAATATTTCATTGAAATTGGACTGAATCAGTACGTGCATTCTTTGCAGTTACGGTCATTTCCCCAATCTAACGCTTGGTATACTGCCGTCATAAGCACAAAGGGCTTATTCCACTTCAAGGACAATTTCCACAGAACAACATTTCCCATATTCCATTTCCGCGACTATAGTAATTATTCCTATCGAACAGCTCAACAGCTCAATAAATGAATACCACAACGTGCACAATCGCCCTGTGCCATTGTGGCAATAATTTTTATAACTTTTTTCACAGAGCATATGGTTGATGATTAACTGTTGAAATAGAACAACTGAGATTGAATCAGCATGTTTATTCTAGTTAAATGATAAATCAGAGGTGTAAGTTATACTAATAAGGACAAAAGAACGCAAATGCTGAATACTAAAGTATAAAAGGCATATATACTTTTCAATCATCAGATAAGCCTAGTATGACTTAGTTTTGAGAGATGGGCCGTTTTTTCCTAGTAAATGACCCATGAAGTGCATTTAAGCCCTTATTTAAAACTCTATTTTCCTTTTCTAAAATATGAAGATAGTTCCAAAAACCCCTAGGAATCTAAGAGAAGCATGTGGATGAAATACTAAGATCAATATCTCATAATGGACGAATTTTCCACTTAGGCCCTTTGTGCTTATGATAGCAGTATAGTGAATCGGTATTCTTAGATCAATAGCTTTGTTCAGTTGTCAAGTTTTGTCCGTGTATCGAATTTATAAATGGGCGTGTACACCTTGGTAGAACTCAAACCATGTTTATAATGATCCTTTTATACATAAATAATGATTGACGACATAATTCGATCGAAAAATGAACTGGAATGCTTTATTTTTGGACATAAATAATAGTACTTTCTGAAAACGAACCCTCTTATGACGTAGAAACCTCATCTCGCCATAGTTAAAAGAGAATACCAAACGCCCGACGGAGACTGAGGCAACTGATATATTAATTCTTTCAACTGTGATCTCGCGCTAATTCACACTGTCAGAAATCATATATCTTTGTCTGGAATAGTCTGGAATAGTCTTTTTTCAGTTTAAGGGTTTTGACGTCACATCATCGCCTCGTTTTCAGAGGTCCGAAAAATCGGGGATTTCAATAATTTTTTATAAAACGTAGGGAGCTCACAGCAAGAAACGGTTTGCGGTGGTGAGCTAGTTTGGGTGAGTTCTATCGAATTATGAAATAATTTTTTTTGTGATATATAGATAGAAGATAAAAAACATGCAATATTGATTCCTTATTAGTTTTCACTATATTTTACGAATTATATGGATTGTGTGTATAGTCTTTTCTTATTGGTTTTCAATAAATTCAAGATATGAAATCGCTCACCAGAAATTCATGGACTGGAAACTCTGGCATAAAATCATTTCATTTTCAAAAATGTCTCAAAGTTGTTAAGATATGAAAAACGGCTTCATTTTAGTTCAAATTGAGGAAAATGTCTCCTCACAATTTACCAATAAACAAATACAAGAATTGTAATTTGTATCTTTTCATGCAGTTAGAGATCTATGCAGTTAGTAATATGCGTTTTACAACTCTTGTTATGTAATATATACTATTACGCAACTGGTTGCGTAAAGAAGGACGTTTCAAAAGGTCCGTCAGGTTCAAAAAGTGTCAAATCACATGTCAAAATTAGAAAATAGTAGATTGTTTTATTAGGATCAAAAGTGACACTTTGTTTGACAAGCGAATTTTGCATTTGCGAGGCGGAGCGTTTAGCGAAGCCGAGCGAAAGCAAAATTTGCGAGTCGAACAAAGTCACTTTTGATCCGAATGAAACATGCTATTTTTTCTGCAACCGAAACAATTAACTCAAATAATCATGTGAAGTAACCACCAATGCCGTGCCATATGTATGCAATGCAACAAATATTGATAAATAATCCATGTGGTGAGAATATTCTACCTGCATTAACAGCAGATTAGGTTTTCTAGGATGATCGAATTGTAGTTTCAATATAAATACAATCACAGAGTGACATATTTGTGTATGGACCAGGTGCTCTAATGGCAAAGATGTTTATAATTTCAATACTAAACTATAATAAGGTGTATTTATATCTCCAGCATGGGTATGAAATGCCAATTCTGCTGAAATCGGAAACAAATCAGGTATGCGTCTCAACCCAAATAACCAACCATCACAATGTTGTTTATTCTTGATGACGTCCAGTAGATCCATTTTAGTTCCTAGGAGCTAAAGTTCAACTTTAGCTCCTAGGAACTAAAATTCAACTTTAGCTCCTAGGAACTAAATATGTTGCCTAGCAACATACCTATTTTTGTGTCAGTAATAGAAACGTCAATTTAAGAGCTAATTTTGGTAACAAAATGGACGACTTTTGTGTCGGTTGCAGAAAAAATGCATTTTTGTTCGCGTTAAGCTCTCTAGACTTTCCTACCACAAAATTATCTCTTTTCGTTAATCTCCCCACTCCATGCGCCACTGTAGGGAAAACAAACCACGTGCCCCTTTGGCAGAATCAATGAAACGTTCACCCCTCACACAACGCACAGCCCTCCTTCGTTAGACACTTCTTGCCAGTGTTCTTGCCAGTTCTTGCAGTTGCTTCTGGATGATGTTAGTTGGTAGTGGGTCCCTTTTTCCTTTCCCATTGTCCCTCAGCTTTGGTGATTGGCCATATTCACACATTAACATCTCCGTGGAAGTGCAAATACCAATAACTTGATGAATATGGCCGATTTGTGGAGATGTTGTATTATCGTGTAGAGGTTACAACGTGAGTTTGTTCGATTTTGACGAAATATAATGCAAACCCTCATGAGTAGCAGGGTAAGAATGTTGTTTCCACTGTTCATTTAGTGTTTTTTATTTTAGATCATTAGGTAGATCGAGCATGTGTAATGTGTATACATAGTATTTCAAATGAAGGCAGTACAAAGCTATATATTTTTATTTTATCTATTGTACTTCTAGTGAAGTATTATCAATGTTCCTTTGATATTTTGATGCATGATGCATCTGCAATCATGCTGAGGGCAACAACATGTTCTTTTTGTACAGGTTGCATATTATATAATTATTTTTATATGATCGAAATGAATGCATTTTAATTCAAAATTTTATTGAAGATAATTTATTTACACTACAAGAAATGTTACTTATTTTTAAAATAGTTCTACTATAACATGAACAGTTCAACATGAAGTTATTTTTATAAAATTATAGTTATTTACTTTTCTGAGTTGAGTAATTGATAGAAAAATAAATTTCATTGTCAGTAATTCCTTTCATATAATATAATAAATAATGGTTCCGAAGTCCCTATAGCTACTAGGGGTGGGAAAAATTATCGATATATCGATAATTATCGATAATTATCGATAATTATCGATAATAATTTGGAGAAAAATTATCGATTTATCGATATTATCGATATTATCGATATTATCGATATTATCGATAATTATCGATATCATCGATATTATCGATATTATCGATATCTTCGATATTATCGATATTATCGATATTATCGATATTATCGATATTATCGATATTATCGATATTATCGATATTATCGATATTATCGATATTATCGATATTATCGATGTTTTCGATATTATCGATATTTTTGATATTATCGATATTATCGAAATAATCAATAATGTCGATGATATCAAAATTATCGAAATTACCGATATAACCAATGATATAAAAATGGGGAAGACCACTGATTTTTTAAAACGACATTATCGTGA